GGTCCCGCTCGGGGACGGAGGTGGCGCGCGGCGAGGCCAGCAGCGCGGCTCCCCCGGACTCCGGCGAGCTCCGCATCCCCTTTTGAGGCACCCAGCTCCGCTGCTGCTAACGCGCGCTCTCGTCTCCTGGCTGCTCTGCCGGTGCATTACCCTCCCTCTGTCTCTCCTTGTTCTCCAGATTATCAGAGCGAGTATTATGGCCCTGGAAGCAATTACGATTTCTTCCCGCAAGGACCTCCCTCATCTCAAGCTCAGACGCCGGTGGATCTCCCCTTTGTGCCCTCCTCGGGGCCGTCCGGCACCCCGCTGGGGGCGATGGATCACCCCCTGCCCGGACACCACCCCTCCAGTGAGGCTCAGCGCTTCACTGACATCATGTCGCACCCCCCAGGAGACTCGCCCAGCCCCGAACCCAACCTGCCCGGGTCCTTGCACTCCATGTCTGCAGAAGTTTTTGGCCCCAGTCCTCCATTTTCTTCAATATCCGTCAACGGTGGTGCTAACTATGGCAATCACTTGTCACATCCACCAGAAATGAATGAAGCGGCTGTGTGGTAGCTTTAAAACAAACTGGGTCTAAGTAAGTGATGATCATCTAGTCTGCTTATTGTTATGGTGTACAGAAATGAATAAATATAACATCTCTCCTGCCCTAAGACAATATTACCTTGGGAATGAACTGAATCCAAATCACTCCAAGGCAAGCTTTGCTAGAGACCGGGACAATCTTCATGTTATGGTTGTAACAAACAAACAAACAAGGGGACTTTTTTGTACCATTGACAAAGAAACTGGTGAAGCTGTACAGTAAAGTGCTGCCATACCGTAGGATGGCGTAAGTTTGAGTACCCTGTTGGATGTCATCCTAAGAGCCACAATCCTTAGAAACTTCTCATTTAAAAAAATAATAATTGAATGAAGGAAAGGTCAAAGAAAAGGGGGAAAAAGCTTCAAGAACTCTAGCGTTCCCGGTTAAGGATGGTTCTGGCATTATGAATTTGTTTGTTAATTTTTGTCTCTCAGAAAGTTCAACAAGAAGAAACTCTTTTTAGCTTCAGCCATTTCAGCCTGCTGACTATCAGGTGGGACAACTTTCTTTTTCCTTTTTTTTTTTTTTTGTTTTCCAAAATAGCAAATACTAAATGTTAAGCCCTCAGCACCAACTCTTCTACCTTCACAAAGCTACACATACAAAACCTCCTCATCCTAGCAAAGGTCACCAACCAGACCTCTAACGAAAGTGACTTGAAAAAAACAAACAAACAAAAAGTATTCTACCTTCACAAAGAGAGAGAAAAGCTAAACAAAAAGACTCTATTGAACTAAAAACAGTCAACTGTTTACGTCTAATGTTAAATTCAGGAGTTCAATGTTTTACTAATAAATCCTGTTTTAGAACCTCTTGTTCAAAAGCAAAATATTTTGAGCAACCAACCAAAATAGTTCATTTTCTTTTCTGTAGATGTTATAACAGATTGCAGGGCTTGTGGTTCACTGTGCTAGTTTGTAAAAGGTGTTGTTTACAGAAGGCAAAGAAAAAACCCATGAAACCCAGACAGTTGCCAAATAAAGTAAATATATAGCACAAATACTGTAAGGTGCTTTGCACCAGCAACCCGAGAAAGTGTTTAAAAAGTGTTACAAGGTTAAAAAAACAAACAAACATCTTTGCTAATTTTTAGTCCTGTTGAACATTCATGGAATTGTTAATATGACTTATATAGACCCACACAGGTTTTATTTTTGTGTCTTTAAAATAAAAGTCCAAAATATTTAAATTTTATGGTCAAATATGCAGTCAACAGCTGCTACTTTTTTCTTTATATATTAAATTTCTCATATGTCTTTTATTGTTCTAATAAACCTAAGCTTGTGTGACCTCCAGTGCATATTAGACCATTCACTGTATGAAAGAAAACATGTTGGATAAAATTTGTGCGTTTTTAATAAAATTAGAAAATCTGATGTTTAGATAACTTGTGTTTCATTTGATGTTTTAAGCAATTTTAAATGGATTCTCTGGAGTAAAATAGCCCTGGAAAAGAATTATCCACTATACTGATACTGTATCTCTATTTTGCTTTGGTAGAAGTCTAAACCCTGTTGTCAATGCAGATAGGCGTTATCTGTAGTTTCAGCCTTTTTTTACATCTGCAGACTCAATTGGTAACGTAGAAATAATATGTTAATCTCTACATTAAATGGCAGAATTGGAAACTAATCAAATTGTTAAATATATTAGCTTATTCCAGGTCTAGGATAAAACATACTCAAATGCTTATTTTATTCATAAACAAAAAATGTATTTGAATATCAGAAACGTGCAAATATGTGGTTTAAAATTGCTCCGTTTTTAGTTAAATTAATTCTCCAAAGGTAATCCTTTTTTGAATTGAATGTTTTGGAAGACAACATAACCTTACTGTCATGAAAGTAATTCTAATCCTTTTTTCAGAGCTGACACAGAGGCCATTGTTTTATAGCATTTGGCATTTATGAAGTTCTATAGAGGGCAAGGGGGAAGAATATTTTGCTTTGCACTAGATACTTAATTTTTACTGGAGAAATATGAAACAAAACAGTTCTGAAACCTTGTGAAATTACAGATTTAATCTTTTCATTATAAATTATTGCAGAATCCCAAACATTCGGTTTTTCAAAGCCAAAATTCTCACTGATTTCAAGATGACTTTGACCTGTATTAGAAGTAAAGAGTTAGGTTCAGTTTAAAAAAAGTCACTAATTTAAATATTTTCCACCTGCTGAAACAATAGAACGGAGTGAACTATAATTGCATATTTTCCCTGTCTCTCAACCAGTTGTGACTCTGGCTGGTTTCTTTTTTATTTGAAGTAGACACAGAAATTTACTGTAAAACAGAGACTTCTACATTCCCAGCAATTCAATTATTTATCTCTTTGGACTGAGGGAGAAAAATCAAAATGCTTTAAAATTGTATGATTTGTAATTTGCAATGGTGATTTCGTATTTTATTCGCAGCCTAGTTTATACGCCCAGCAGAGGGGCCATCTAGATGAAGCAATAGTTCACTTTAAACCCAAAATGTCTTACATAAAGATAAAAACTATCTGCAAGGGATCTGTTAGTGTTTCTAAAAAAATCATGCTTTATTAAATACAGGGGAGACTTCTTAAACTCACGGGCTCCGTGTCTAACTCATTTATTTATCCTTTATATTGTTGGTATGGGTTTTTTGCTCTGTTTTGCATTTATATACGCAAAGTGATCTATTTATTATAAACTTTTGCCTAACTGGGCCAATGCTATTTATAAATACTGCTATTTGTGCTTCTGGTCTATGCTGCTGTTTCATTGTTGGATCAATTATTTTAAATGAGAATTGCACCACATAGGCATTATTTGTAGAAATCATGTCTGCCATGATCTGTTTCTTCTTTTGTTTTTTCTTTTTTTTTTTTTTTGGTAACAAGTTATTTATACAGATTATTCTATGTTTATTTATGTAGAGATGTGATCTAGTTCAGTTTAGGTCACTTGTTTATAAAAGAAACCGAGGGCAGCCTATGTTGTTGTTGTTTTCCTCCAAAGATCCCACTCACCCTGTAATACAGAGTTTTGCCCACCTTAAGGCGTCCGCAGAGGGGCAGGTCCCTGCTCAGCGCTGCGTGTGCGCGTCAGTGTTTCCCTGGGTCGGATCTGGAGGCCCCAGCACTTTGCAGATTTGAATTCGCTGCTCTTCCGTTTTTTGCCCAAGACCCTAATCCAGCAACAATTGCCCAGTCAAAACTCCTTTTGAAATCATTGTCACGTTGGGTTCTTGTAAGTCCTTGTTTACAAGAGCGTTTCCATTGACTTCAGGAGCATTACTTGGGTGAATAGAGGTCTGCAAGAGAAGGCCCTCAGAAAATATGTGCTGCATGGGTGAATTTTATTTACATGGGCATATTATTTTTTAAATGCAGAAACATGGACATGACATGTATGCAACTATACATATGTGCAATGAATTTTCAAATGTGTTTTTCGAAGTATTTGTTCTCTTTTGATCTCTTATTCCTTGACCGTTACTGGTTTCGGTGACCTTCACCTTGTTGCTGTATCCCAGCAGAAAGCGCAGTCCGCTGATGTAAAAGCCCGCGCCGGCCCGCTTGCGTTCCCCCGAGTTTCCGTGGCGTCCGTGGGGTTAGCCATGGCGAGCGGAGCGTAGCCCTCCTCTTACGGACAAGGGAGGCCCAGTATTTAAATGTGCAAGGCTGAAGACTTTGGCAAATCCCATGTTTAAGACCATATAACGTTTACTAAGAAAAAGGCACAAGGAAAATATCGTAAGTATCGCTCGTATTAAGCTAATCGATATGAAGGGGATATTTTTCAGGCTACTCGAGGTGTCTTTAAAATGCCATGAACGTCCAGCACTCGAACAGCTCTGCTTTTGGCACGAGCTGATTGCGTACCGTGTTGCACAATGCTGTCAGTGCGTGACACTCCTCTCGGCAGTTCCCTTTTTTCTTCAGTCATTTCTATTACCTATTTACTCAAGCCTTTGCTTGGGGAATGGTAGGGGATTTGTAAAGATCTGTATCCCAAGAGTAAGAATGTACTTAAATTACGATTTGTAGACAAACGATGTATATTATTTTAATATGTGTATGTGTACCCAGATGCTGAGTGATGGGTACATGATACAAATCTATAAATAAATATAATTTAAACATATCGGTGGTGATTTACATACTTTTGCCATTCTAGGAAGTGGCAGATACTGCAGTGTCCTCCTAGGAAAAAATCCCTTTTGCCGTAGTCTGGAATTTCTCCCTGAGCAACAGTGCTTTTTTTAAGCTTTGCGTGTTCTTAGAATTTTAAATATAAGCAATTGCAATCTGCCTTTCTGTTACTACTCCTGTGTACAGACCAGTATATAACTTCAGATATATTAAGATGAAACAATTGGTATGTATCCTTAAATTCCGACTGTGCTGTGCAGCTGCAAACAGGAAATTACCAGGGCGCAGCGTTGGTGAAGCTGACGTTTGCCAGGTAGATTAGGAGGGGATTTGGAAAGTCTTTTATTTGTATCTGCCACTGTACCGGGCTGCTCAGGATTTCTTGCGACATCAAAATATTCATGAAGCTCTAACTGAAATTAATGGGACCATTTAAAAAAGATTTCAACCTACTTTAATTATAAATCCTTTTGGGATTGCTGTCTTGCTTCTGTGTTCCTTCTTGAACAGTATTTGTGATGGTTTTAGTTATACACCATGGGGTCATGCTTACAAAGCTGAGTTTGTTGTTGCCTGGAGAGTTTTTCTTTCATTAAACACAGCAACTTAATACAAAAATTGAAGAGTAGTTGTGTCCTTACAGTTAGCTGAAATAAGTAAATTTTCTTTGTATTTGGAATTACTGTAACTGGCATCATAAAAAGGCAGGGTACTCTCAGGACAAGGGATTTTTCTGCAGTGTGTTTACCATTTGTGCATGGCATCACTGAATTAGAGGCGTGCTGTTGTCTTTATTATGCATATCAATTGCCGTTTCTTAGAGAGCATCCCGTGGCCCTCTATACAATGCTCCTTGGGGATAAGCAGTACAATTGGTATCTCTTAAGCCTTCTGTTACAGGCTGTCTTCAAATTCAGGAATATCTGTGCTTCGGTTATCTTTGGTGCAATGTTTGGAGAGCATTTTTGGCAACCATAAGAATTAGGACTTTTGCCTGATTGGTTTTAATGTATGCTTGCCCCCTGCAGAATCTGAATCTTGAAAGAGGCTGATAGTATCTCTAATTGTTTGGAAGGAAGTATTTAATGCTGCTAATCTGA